AACCGCTGCTTTAGAACATTGATTTTGAAACTTGTGAATCCATTAGAATCGTTAGAAGACAGAATCACGATTCATATATGAATAGATTTTTACGTGCACCTCTAGTTTTCTCTTCTCTAAAGCAGTGCAGCATGGCCATTAGTTAGTTGTTTATTTTTATTGCCATGTCAGCATAAGGCTATCTTTGTGGCAAAAACTGAGTTGGAATAATACAATTTACAAGCACAAAATAAAACCACATAAACACAAAATTCTACAAGATTTTTGAAATTAACATATGATAAAAAAATATTTTCTGGTAAAATCTTACTAAACAATTCCCTGAGTGAGCTTACTTCATAAAAAAAAGTGTTCTACTTGCATTAAAACTGGGATAGTCCAATAAAATGTTTAATGGAAAGGGAGGTTTTGCAGAACGTGCATAAGCAAAAAGGCATGGGTCAATCTTGTATGACCTATACCACATTTTTATGTATATGTAAATATTCAAAAACGTAATAAATAAATAATTTAAAATCATATTAAAATATTAAATTTTTAAGAATTTAACATGCATTTTAAACTACTTTTTTTTTAAAAATTTTTTTTTTTACTTTTTTTGTCTTTGACCCAATGATATATTTTCAGACCATAAACAGATATAAAACATGTAACATAACAATGCATGTGAAATGACAGTGCAAAAAATGTTAATGGTAAAGTTGAGTGTCTTGTTCCAGTAAAGGCCAAAAATAATAAGATGAGGGAATGAAATTTAATATCGAAGTGTCAAGCTGCTCAGGAGGAGCAGAGGATTTACTGCAGCCAGCTGCCAAACCTGACAAGTTATACTCTGACTGATGTCTTTTCAATGATTCAAATCAGGTTACAGTGTTTCCTTAGATAGAACAAATCATTCTTTCAGTCAATTTTGCCTCTGAGAGACACTACAACATGGACGTCACTGTAGGGTCATTTTATATTCAAGCTTGTTAGCTCCAGAAGTGGCATTATCATGCCACAAGAACATTTACAGCCTTGGCTGAGTAAGAGAAATGGAGTAGTGCGGTGCCGTAAGTACAAAAGAAAAACGGACCTGAAGTATGTACCATCTACAAAGAGGCCATAAAAATCGACTAAGAAATGCAAGCAGCTGTACGCCTCTGGTATTCATGGGGGCTTTGAAGTTTTAATAAACAGTTAGTAAAGCATTAAGCTCATAATCTGCCACAGGTTATGTACCATCTGGTTACACACAACAGGATGCACCAACTGACACCAAGAATTGTTGTTTGTGTTAGACTTGCTATTCATAAGATTAGTATGCATAAACTGAAAAGGGCATTACCACTAATTTGAAATTATCATCATTACACGTAGACTAAACTGTATCGATTTGTCAATAAAATGGATTTACAATTTACACCTTGAGGTATGAGAAACTTACGTAACTTGAGAAGTCAAACTTCAATTTTACACATAGTATTTAGTGT